AAAAAAAGACATAGGGACCAGCAGATGGCACAGTGGTTACTCCAACATAGTCAACTATGGTTCGAGTCCCAGACCTGGTGACTTAAAACTCATACTGGGTGGGTGTGCATGCATGCCCAAAATCCTTAGAGGAAAATGGAGGAGAAGGGACTGTGGCATATCCATCCCCTCTGGTGAAGAAGTGTGATCTCTTTGTCTCTCTCTGTCTCTCAGCAAGCACATGCAGCTTATAGCAAAAATATCTATCTCAAAAAACAAAAAAGGTTTAAGGGAACCAGCAGTTAGTGTAATGGCTATGTCGCTGGACTTCCATGTAGCTGATCGCGGTTTGCGTCCCGGACCCAGTGGCTTAAAACTCACGCTGGGCGCATGTGCGTGCATGCCCAAGATCCCAAGAGGAGAATGGAGGAGAAGGGATTGCGGCGTGACCATCCCCTCTGGGGAGTGATTTCTCGCTTTCTGTCTCTATGTCTCTCTCTGTCTGGCGAGGGCACACACCCTATAGTGAAAAAACCTCTCCCAAAATAAAAAAGTTTAAGAATGTAGTAGGATCTTTAAAAAAATGAGATAACTAATGAAATCAATAACTTGAAAGAGGAACAAATAGCTTCCTGATGCTAGAATGAGGGACCTTTATTAACAGTCAACCAGCATGCTACTGTTGCACAAAGTATTGTCTTGGCCCTAATTTTAGCTTTTTCCAAGAAAGATGAAAATAAAGAATTTGAGACTTTTTTTTAATATCTTTCCCCAGATAAAACTTAAAGAGATATTTGAAACCCCTACAGAAATCAGTCTGGTCCTAGAACTCGTCACAGGAGGAGAACTGTTTGATAGGTGAGTTGGTCCTGGAATCTAACCACAAAAACGTTTGTTTTTATTTATCAAAATTAATCTAAGGGATGTTTCTCTTGAAATTTTTTATGCCGACAGGTAGTAATAGATACAGATGTGTTTTACTAAAGTAAAGCTTAAGAAGAATGTTGGAGGAGGGTGGCTAGTGTTCAGTCAGGTGTAGGCAGATTCAGCCTTGAGATGCTTGCTTAAGGAAAAAGAAAAGCACTGCAGTTACCTCTGTGGTCATTTACCTCCCCAGCGAAAATGGAATTTCTAAAACCTCGTTACGTTTAAGCTAAATAGACTTGCGAGAATTGTTTATGAAGAAATACTTGATGGAAATTATAGAAAGTTAAGCCAGTACCAAAAGTGTCCTCTGTGATCCAAAAGCTCACACAGATCAACACTCCTCCAGGGGTTATTTTCAGACCTCCTTTTATAGTGGTCTGTGGACAAGTAAAACCCGTTCTGGGGGGGTGGGGGCGGTGGGGCGGTATCCCTGGGAGTCTGCAGAGCTCAGTAAGCAAACTGTTTGCACAGACACATGAGCTTGGTGTTCCCTCATTTTCCACCCTCATCACCTTCTCAGAATAATCCCATGGTTGCTCTGATGGGCCTTTGGGAGTCTTTTGCTGCGCTCTTCAAGAAATCCTTAGGGAATGGAGTTGGAAGAGGACGAAGAGACTAAGTACAGGAATACTAGGGTTGGTGAGAAGCTGTGCTCTGATGGAGAGGCCTCTGTTGGAGAATGGGATCGGGGGGAAGAGGCTTCAGCTTGGGGGAAGACAGGAGAGGTGCTGAGTGGCCACTGATACAGCCTAAGCATTTGGATCATAGTAAAGGCTTCGTAAGATTTGCTGATGACTAAATGAACGAGCAGTTGGTACGGTCAGTAAACTGGCAAGAAGGATATCTACAAGGGGTCGGTTCAGAACGTGCTGGGAGAGGGACACTGCTTCCCTTTGCCATGGGTTGGGTGTTTGTGTCCCCTTAAAATTCACTTGTTGAAACCTACCCCCCCCCCACGGTGATAGAATCCAGGAAAGTGACCAGGTCCTAAGGATGGGGTCCTCATGAATGTATTGGTACGCGTACTAAAGACTTCCTGAGAGCCACCTTCCCTCCCACCACGTGAGGAGGCCGTGAGAAGATGCCCTCCGTGAGGAGGTGAGCCCTCACCCGATACTCAATCTGCCAGCCCTTTGCTCTTGGGATTTTCAGCACCTGGAAGTGTGAGAAATGTCTATTGTAGCAGCCCGCGTGAGTTAAAGCACCTTCTGTCCCACCGTGAGTCCACCCAGTTGAATTTGCTGCCTCTTCAAGAGTTTCCGAATGTACTCATACTGTTTTTTCAGTGGTACTGTCTGTTTCTACATTCCGCAGTAACGGTATGGATCTTGAGGTGGGAACAAGTTAAATGGCCAGCTTCATCGGAACTACAATACGTATATATCTTTAATGATATGTTAGCAGTTTGTAGCATAGGTATAAATGTCTTTACACATGCATATTGCATATGTAATTTTGTAGTCTTGTTCTAAAACCATCATGTGCTTAAAGAAGACTCCCCTGGACTTCATTATCTGGGTGTTGCTGGAATCTGCTCGTACCTGTTCCCTGTTCAACACCTCTTTACCTGACTCTTTCTCATGGACATATTCCTTCAAGTGACAGTGAGTCAGTTTGTAGTCGGGAGTCTACTGCCTTTGGAGCTATGAGTTCTCTCTAGGAAATCTTGCATCTCTCTCTGCTAATTTTGGTCTATCGGAGAGAACTCTCATATTCTTTAATTATAAATAATTGCAGAAGAAAAATGCCACACCAAAGCGATCTTCTAATAGCACTTAACTACTTCCTGACCTGCCTCTGTTGAAATTAATTTGGAATCTAGAGTCTTTTCTCCTCTACTCCTTATCTTTCTTTCACAAAAGAATTTGGGGTAGAATGAATTCAACTCCAGATAAAGATGAGGAACTAGATGCTGTTGGTAGGTTTTACTTGCAGAGAAAAATAGGTGAAATACTCGGATTTAACAGGGGACATCTGAAGAGTGGCAGCCAGCCAGTGAAGCACTCAGCACTCTGAAAACTCAAAGGGGTTTGGAAGACGGGCCTGCTCTCTCTGCGTGTTGCAGAGAGATCCGTATCACTGACACGGTTGGACGTGGCCTTTCCACTAAGTACTGAATTCTAAGGCTATCTTTAAATCCTAGCAAGCCGAAAATATATCCTGCATATTATCCGGTGTGTTATTTTCCTTGTTGAGAGTTTAAAAATTATAAGATGGTCTCTTTTTCCTGTATTTAGGTCAAAGTCAAATTTACTTCATTGTAATAAGAATTCATTCCCAGTCTGATGATGACTCTAATAGTACCTAATGAATAAAGTGATGGAACACGTGTTAAAGAGATAATCATGCTATTCCAATGTAGTCAAAATGATTGTGTTGGTGTTTTTTTAAATTAGAAAAAGAGCTGTTCTGTGATGACTTTAAAAAATTAAATAGGGAGCCAGCAGTTAGCGTAATGGCTATGTCTCTGGACTCCCACGTAGTTGACCACGGTTCAAGTCCCGGACCTGGTGGCTTAAACTCACGCCAGGCGTGTGTGCATGCATGCCCAGGATCCCGAGTGGAGAATGGAGGAGAAGGGATTGCGGCGTGGCCATCCCCTCTTGGGGGTAATTTCTCGCTTTCTGTCTCTCTGTCTGTCTCTGTCTTTCTGGCGAGCGCCATGTGCCCTATAGCAAAAAAACTCTTAAAAAAAAATTAAACAGAGTCCAAATCCAAGTGGAATCTGCTATTTCACATAGCATTTAAGTTGTAAGTTACCTAGGACAATTCATTGGGAATTTTGGAATGAAATCAGTGACTTTTGTGTGTACAAGAAAAAAAATTCAAAAAGTAATAACAAAAATAGGGACCAGCAGTTAGTGTAATGACTATGTTGCTGGACTCCCATGTAGTTGACCCGGTTTGTGTCCCAGACCCAGTGGCTTAAACTCACGCTGGGCGCGTGTGTGTGCATGCCCAAGATCCCAAGAGGAGAATGGAGGAGAAGGGATTGCGGCGTGGCCATCCCCCTGGGGGCGCGGGGTGGGGATTTCTCGCTTTCTGTCTCTCTCTGTCTGTCTCTGTCTGTCTGGCGAGCACACGCGCCCTATGGCAAAAAACTCTCCAAAATAAAGGAATAACAAAAATAAGTGTAGACAATTTTAATGTCTTGGGAATGAGAGGCTTCAGCAGTCCTCTGTCCCGTCCTTAGTCTGTCTGCACTTGTGAACACGGCGTTGCATTTTCACTGAACTTTTTTAGTGGACAGGGTGTGAGGTTGTTCACTTTTTTTGTTCGTTTGTTTTCTTCTTGTGATTATGCTTGTTCCAATGCCAAATAGTAGGTATGGAAGGGTTTTAGAATTTGAGGCTTTGAACTCTTACTTTCCAAAAGCGCATTTTCCTTTGTTCTGACAGTCATTTCAGGTAGGGAAGAGATCACTCTCCTATAGCTGGGGCAGGGCTGCTCAGCTGAGCTGCTGGGGGCTGGCCTGTCCCATGTCTTACAGGAAGTTGCTCTGAGCGAGCGCATCCTCACCAGGGCTCAGCAGACACGGACAGCCGCCACCCGTCCTGCAGTTCCCTGATGCCCAGAGGCTTTGCCCAGCCCCCGGCCTGCCAGCCTCTGCAGAGGATCCGCAAATGCCCCCCGAGGGAAAGCGAGCACAGATGGCAGCTTCACCTTGCTAGGTTTTTCTGTCTTGAATCTTAGGGCCTGAAGCCTTTTCTTCCTGAGTAACTCTCATATATCTTCAGATGAATTTTTTAAATGTTTTTTATTTAGATTGTTTTCATTATTCTTACCTGGAAATTGAAACTGAGTTTAAAATTTTCAATACTTTAATTTTTCTTTTCACAGACACTAGTGTGTTTTTCTCTTTTAAAACATTGACCCTTTGGGTTTAGCATGATGAACAGCTACACGGATGTCGGAGCTGAGAATCAGCCCCCGCAATGACCCTCTCGATGTGGGCAGCCCCGCCACCTTCTGCCCCACACCTCGCCTTCTGCGGCCTCACGTTCCTTCCTGTTAAACCTAGTCAGCGTCTTTCTCATCGTTCCAGGAGAACAAGCTGTTGTTTACTGTATTTATGGAGAGTCCACGGCAGATTGACGGGTCCTGTGCAAAGCGACTTATGCATTTAGCCCACTCAGTAAGCCTTCAGTTTTTGCGGTGTTATTGTCTATTTTTTGTCCAGAGCATATTCTAAGGAGATAAGTAAACAAGTCAGTCTTGAAACTCACATCTGTCTAACTTTAACCTTTTGTTGCATTTCTCAAAACTGAATCTAGTTTTTGGTAAGCTGTAAGGCATCCTTAGGCAAGTAAGCAATATCATTTTGGGGACTCTGCAGTTAGTATAGTCTTTTCATTGCTTTTAATTACAACCCAGTCTTCACATAGACTCCTTTTAAAAATTTTTTACATCACACTTAATCGCATATGTATTTACAGCGTATAACATTTCTTTTACCAGCACGATTACTGTGCATACCAGTCAAGACAAAGACATTACTGTACACTTCATTAGCAAATAGCTTTTCTTTTTTTGGGCAATTAAACATACGGTTTTTTTTCTTTTTCTTCCTTTTTCTTCCCCTGTTCCCCTCCCTCCCTCCATTACCCACCCCTGTTTTACCCCATCCTTACCCCTTATATACCCACCATTACCGTCCTGCTGCTACACCTTCCAAACTTCGTCGCTGTTGTAGAGCGCAGATAATCAGTATGTGTGGAGTGGACTAGCTTCGCTTAGCATTCTGTCTTCCATATCCGCCCACCCTGTATCAGATGTCGGGACCCACTGTCTTCATGGCTGAGTAGTGCTCTTAGTAGTCATCTCTAGTTAGACTCGCTGGACCTCTTCTTATTCTTGCTAGAAACAAATTGAGTCTTTAGGGTACTGCCATAAGAAGAAGGTTCCCAGAAGAGAATTCAGGCTGTTTCTTG